TGATGATGAGAGAGCAGGATGGAAATCCCTTGGCAGCTTCAACGCTTCCCGATCATTGCTGGGATGTTCGTCACTGCGCAACGGAGGCTCCGGAGAGGCCGTCGCATTCGTAGCTGAAGCAACAGGATCCGGGAATATGCAACAGGTGTGAATCATGTAGTCGTTTGAAGCAATCATCCGTCAGTGCAGCAGCGACGGGCAGCGGTAACCGGTACCGATAGTTCACAACGCGAGTAGATAGAGCAAGAATGGACCGTAATTTGAGCCTCCGAGGGTTGAATATTTTCCATCGGTGGCCTCTTGTCGAACTCTCGAGGTTGATGTGGAGGAATTCCCGCCACTCTCTAGTCCATTCCTGAGGATACGACGGGTAAAAATCAAGTCCCAGCGCCGGCGACGGTAATCAATAGAAAACGTCTTCAAATGTCGAAGCCGATGGTGATACGGCAGGTCACCTCACACAGATAAACTTCGATCCACGCTGTTGGACATTTTCGATCACGTCGCGCTCGAACTTGGGAAGCGGGTAGTCAACAGCGAAGCAGTAGTCCAGAAAAGGGCGCACTTGCGAGGTGAACAGGAGCATAAGTTTTTCCCCGTGTCGGAAAACAGAAAGCTCTTCGGATGGGGTAAAAAATCCTGTAGGCAGCGGCAACCCACTTCATAGTAAATAAATAAATAAATAAATAAATATTTATTCTCGACTATGCGAGGCACGCCAATTGAGGCATGATCAGGTATGTACAGCTGTACAGACATTTTATGGGAACTGTAGTGTCAGTAGAAAATTGTTCATATGTCCACGCTTGGGACTGTGCGATGGTGAACATGCGATAGAACGATTGGGTTGTAGTGGGATCGGGATCCATTTGTTTGGACATAATCGCTCTGCCACGTATCGCAGTCATACCTCGAGTAATTATAGATAAATCCTGAGGGATCCATTGGAAGATAATTGAAGAGTAAGCTATCCCGGGTGGACATTAAGATTGGGGAAATAATCACGCCGAGATCTCTCGCTGTAGTGACATTGTGAGTAAGAAACACTGTAAGTTTTCAAGGGTCGAATGGATCAGGATCTCTGATAGACAGGAGGAAATATTGGCTTGCCTAATGGGGAAACGCAACTGAAGGAATCAATTGTGCAGGAGGTCGAGGGTCTCTTGTATTCCAGCAGCATCCTCTGGAGAGCATACCTCCTTCCATATCTTTAGATCACCCGCATAAATCAATTAATCCGATCGAAGTTCCGACGGTACATCGTTGATGAAAATGTTGAAGAGTTCGGGGCTGAGGACGGAACCCTATGGGACACCGCTGGTCACATGTACAGGATCGGAATAGGTTTCGTTCAACCTCACCATTATGAAATGACTGTGCGGGAGATCGGAAAGCCACGAGTGAAAGCTTCCAGTGACACCGCTTCCTTTGAGTTTGAAGAGGAGCTGTTCATTTGGAGCCCATGTCAAAAACCTGACGGAAATCCGCGAACACAACATCTAGGCGGTTTCCAAAAGCCGAGGAACTTGCCCATTTTTCTCCAGCCATAATCAACTTGGTTGAACAGGAGCGGGCTTCGCGAAAACCGTGTCGAGCACCGGATATCAGACAAACCACACGAGATGAAGCCAAAGCGCCCGTATTAGGACACGTCCCATGCTTCTGCACACTATCGATGTAAAGCAAATAGGACGGTAGCTAGCTGGGTCTTGACAGTTCCTTCCTTTGTACATGGGCTTGATGTTGCCCATCTTCCAAGCGGTCGGGAGAAGTCCGGGCTGAAACGAGCAACGGAAGACCTGCGAGATAGGTGAAACAATGTACTGGGCCACAGTCTTGAGGAACATGGGATGCAAGTCGTCAGGACCAGGTGATGAATAAGGGGCCAACTCACAGAGAAGTTTCAACGCGACGTCAGTGTTAATGTCTACGGGCTCTACAAGAGAAGGGGAGTGCACATTAGTCTGTCAGAGAACGACACTGACGTTGCGTACACTGAGGAGTATGGCCGTGCCAGGAGGCTGGCCTTGTCGGTATCTTCGTGAACTAGATCCTTATGCTCCAAGAACACAGGGCAGGGATACCACTGCACAATCTAGCGCTCCATTTGTGGTAAGGGAAAAGCGTCGTAGGAGTCTTTCTAGAAACTGTGGCTAAGGAGAGTTCATCTTGTTGACGTCTCCCACATAGTTCCAGGGTACAGGTATTCCTAACCGTTTTGTAACCGAGGTAACCATGCTCTGATCGTGTGTTCCTGAGGCGGTCCCACAACTTACTTCTGCTGTTCATCAGGGCTCGCAATGCATAATCGATACACGGTGGGCCTCTAGAGCGCCATCGCCTTTTGGAGATGGCGACAACTTGTACAATGCGTGCTGTCAGCTTGGCTTACAAAAGATTCTAGACACGATCTGCATTGAAATGTGCGGAAAAACACAAATCCCTAATACCTGCAAGCGTTTTAAGCCGAAGGGCATCAGCACGCCAGAAATTTCGGCGGACGGCAAATGGGTTGTGAACGGTAAAGCGAAGCGTCCATTTTGGAGTAAGACAGTACAATCATCGCCTTTACCAATAGATTGAGAGACTGTTAGGTCCAAGGCGTCTGACCACGCGGGGGAGTGCACATGGTCCAGGATATGAGGCGGTTGGCCGGCGAGGATATGAGTTGGCATGGAGCCATGTTGATACAAGCTGCAGTCAAGAATTGTACTGAGGAAGACGGCATCAAAGGAATCAGGTGGAAGCTCGAAAAGAATAAGGTCCCAGTCGATATTAGAAGATTGAAAGCTCCCAGAAAAATGCAATCCTTTAAAGCAACGTGCGTCCTGCTGAGGTAAAACAGGCGAGCTCCAGCTCCCAACCACCAATCAACGAAGATTTGCACCCGTCATGAATGCGGCACCAAAGGGCATGGAAAGTGATGGCATTGTCATATGCCACACCAACTAGATGGGAGTTCAGACCCGCCGTCCAGTAGAGTACTACTCCACCTCCCGTCTTCCTCAATTGATGATCGGCCCAAAGAGTGGTATCCACGGATAGCCGCTTCAGTGTCAACGATGTCTGGGAATAACCATGTTTCGGGACAAATATTTCAGGACAAATATTTGCGGCAAGCGTCTGGATCTCATCACGTTTACTTAGTAGACTAAGAGCATTGGCGAACACACAGTCCGTTCTTTTACGTTACTGTCCTGGGGTGACAAAATTCGGCCTCCAAGGCGTTCTCGGAATTTTCAGGAGTACGCGATAATCCACGATAAGTAGGTCCATTTCAGCCCTCGCCCGACGGGTCCTCAGCTCATCAAGAGCTTTTTCATTTTGATCCGACCTTCCGGGGAGAGATCTCTCAACACATAAAACTGCTCGCCTTTGAGACGTGAGGTCGGTAGGAGAATGCGTCGACATTCTTCCTCGTCGTGGAACCCAACCTCAAGGGGGCGAACCTTGAGAGAATCTTCATGTTTCCTACCTAAGCGGAAAGCCGAATTAATGTTGATTCCTGTTCGCCTTCGTCGAACAACACAGAGGCCATTCGCTCTAGAAACACTTTGTCGTCTAACATCCTTCCGGATGGGGCATCGCATTTTGATACAGGAGCATACATGATGATGAGACATCGGTCATTGGAGGGTAGTAATGAACGCCTAGTGGTCTGTAATTGGGAAGGACCTGCGCTGTTTTGATCAGCGATTCCAAGTGGTTACTCTTGTCAAGAACAAATTTGAACTGGGACTGAGGAGAGGAAGGTTTAGATTTAGACTCTGACAGCGTTGTGCATAGTCGCGATATGTACACCAGAGGCGGTGGTACTTTCCCTTACAACCGCTGCGTATGACTTCGTCTTGGGCTCACTGAGATGTACGTTCGCCACTAGATCGGAGAAAGCATCAGACGGTCCACGACTTCGCTTACTTGTGGCGGAGGTTGGTGCGGAAGCACAAGGGCGAAAATGTGGAGTAACCAAGGGGCAATGGTTGTCGGGCGCTTTGGGTTTCGTTGGAATGGGGTGAGGGTAGACAGGGGGCAACACGCTCATAAGACGTCAGTGGTTTAACGAAATACGGCAGGCATCACAAAAGAAAATAAAAGCTGATGAAGTCCTTAGCGGTAGTGCTTCGTGCTGATCAGGAGAGCGGCCACAACAAGCGATATGCATACAGCCACCACATCCAAAACACTGTACCGCTTTTGAAAGAGAAGTAACACCTTTAGCGCAAGGCACGCGCTTGAAAGCCATAGAAAATCTAGTTCAAATACTTAACGAGTGATTCTCCAGAAAACATTCTGGAATCGCTTTTGCACACTAAAAAGACTTCAGCGGAACAGAACGTTTGGCGGGACACGCTATTCGCAGGCGGAACAAAGCTCACGTCGTTCCAGTCCCACCGGAACCTGAACATGAAAGCAAGTATTAAAATAATGAAATGTACAACATATAAACACTAACATATAATTAAGTTTTAATATATGTACATCTGCTATCTGAGTAAAAGACTGTACCATATTGTTAGAGATGATTTGATAGAGGATTTGATAGAGACGTTTAGGATCATTAAGGGACTTCGTGGTATTAGTTTCACTCATCTGTTTGAGTTGGCTATGTCAGAATATCTGCGCGGGCATCGCCTGAAGCTCAAACATCAGAGCTCGTTTGGACATCAGAGCAAAGTTTTTTACGAACCGAGTAGTTAACTTCTGGAATAAACTTCTGATTTAGCGGAGTCTGAGACCGTAGAAGCCTTCAAAAGGGGCTTAAACCATTGTTGGTCCATCGTTTTTCCAGAGGTATTGTAGTTGTACTAAGATATGTAGTGTATTTTATTGATGGCATATGAAAGTGCGAAGATTGCTGTTGTTCTTGCTTCATTCCATTGCAGAAGCAAGAAGAGACAATCCAACTTCAAAGTGCCGGGGGTCGCTTCACTTACCAGCACAAGAACTGGACGCCCGTTATGCGGAAGCCTCTATCGTCCGTTTGACCTGACCTGACCTAGTCGGGTTTGGACAAGGTGTACTCAGCAACCTGCACAATTTTACTCCAGTTGGCGTATCGTGAGGATATTCATGAATATATTCATGTTGCCTGATCTATTTAGTGAGGAAACTAAAAGAAGGTGCATAGAACGTTGGTCCAATATTAAGGGCTATAAGAATTTTCGGAGTGCTATCACAAATGCTGCGGTTCTAATTCCACTCTGCCTTGTTCACAACATCCCTTCCATCCTATTCCTCAGGCGCCCTCTTCACCTACGATCCCATCCCGGAGAGATAGGGTGAGTTTCGTCGGCAGACTAATTACATCGAACGTAATTTTGTCAATGTCTTCCAAGTCTTGCCAAAGTTTATGTAGTGCCGACTACCCCATCCGCATGATTACTAGTTCGGAGCGTGACCGTGCAGTGATCCCTAAAGTAAGGGGATCGTTGCACCTCGGATATACGGGCATTGATTCTTCTTCTCTTTACACTTTCTTTTTACTTTGGTCGCTTACTATGTGGTTCGGTTGGAACTGGTGAGCAAGGCCTTCGTCTTGTGGGTTTTCAGGTGGTCAGCCGGGAGTCAAATTCTGCCCTACCAGAACCTCTTCTGGTAGCGTACGACCCAGGGCTGGTCGTGCCGAGTTCCTTCGGGTAGTGCTTAGTAATGTGCGTAGCCTAAGGAACAAGGTACACGAGGTGGGTCTACTTGTAGACAAATCTCGTCCCGACATACTTGCTATCACCGAAACGTGGCTGTCCCCGGATATCACAGACGGTGAAGTATGTTTGCCTGGCTACGCACTGCTTAGATGCGATCGCTCCATTGGCCGCCAAGGTGAAGGCGTCGCTCTTTATGTGAGTTGTAAACTCGATGTGTTGAGGACTTGGGTGTTCCAGTCGCCGGATCAAACTGTTGAAGCCCTCTCGGCTATTGTGTGCACTTCCTCCGCTCAGTTTACAGTTGTAGTGGTATATCGAAGTCCTGGTAGTATCTCCGGGGAGGTTATTGAATTTATTCGTACTCAGGCTGCCAATAGGTGTCTAATACTGGGTGACTTCAACCTCCCTGAAGTCTGCTGGGCTGATCTATCTTGCAGTTCGGCGGTGGGCACTTTCGGTTCGGATCTCCTTGAGCTAACATTGCAACTGCCTTTGCATCAGTTCGTGGACCTCCCGACTAGATATATGCGCAGTCGCAGATTGCCCAAAAGTCAATTGTATGTTTGGGTCACCTCGTGGGCAATGGTCAAGTCCATCCACTTCCGGAGAAACGCGAGACGATCAAGTGCTTCGCAAAACCAAAATCCAAGCGTCAGCTCCGTTCGTTCTTGGGAGTGGTGGCATATGATTCAAAGTTTGTGCCCAAGTTCGCAGAGAAGGTCAGCCCGTAGTTAAAGCTGCTTTTCAAGGACGTGCCGTTCGTGTGGACAGCTGAAGCGGATCAAGCCTTTGACTATCTAAAGGCATGCATATCAGAAGCCCCGACATGTCTACGGCTACCCAATCCTGGTGAGAGCTTCACTGTGGCTGTCGACGCAAGCAACGTGGCAATCGGTGCGGTTTTGTCTCAACCGGCTGGGGTGGTGGAGTACGCGAGCAGAGTGCTGACGGGGGCGGAACAGAAGTATGCAACAACGGAGAAAGAAAGTTTTAGCCATCATGTGGGCGTTAGAGAAGTGGAGAAATTACTTACTGGCGAATGAATTCCGGCTCGTCACTGACCACAAACCGCTCTCGTGGTTGATGACGGCGAAAGACCCGCGGGGACGGATTGCGCGATGGGCCTACCGATTGCAGGAATTCAACTTCACCATTGAGCACGTGGATGGAACGCAGAATGTATTGCCAGATATGTTGTCACGCCCATGTTTGGACGACATCATGCCAGACAATGCCATACCGGTGCGTGCGATCGCGATGGGGGAGAGGAACCTGCTGGGAGATCAAAGGACAGATGAATTCGTGAATGTGTTGTGCTCTCACTTACGGGCTGGCACCAAACCGGAGGCTACATCGGAGGAGGTGGAGGAACTCCTCAAAATCTGGGACAAGTTGAAGGTCGAAAACGATAACGTGGTGGTGGCGATAGACGGACGGAAAGTGCCTTTTGTCCCACCAAATCAGCGAGAACGTTTGATGGGTATAACTCATGATGGCGCCCATATGGGATTCGAGCGGGTCTTTGAATTGCTGCGGAGGCGAGTGTTTTGGCCAACCATGAGGAAGGACGTCGCGGCATACATTCGGGGGTGCCCAAACTGCCAAACGAGTCGGGAGATGGAGTCCCCGAGACCGCCGATGCGATCGATGGAGGTTGGTGAGCCACTTCAGTGTTGGGGACTGGACGTCTTTGGGCCCTTACCAGTGAGTCGAACAGGAAACAGATACATTCTAGTGATGATTGACCACTTCACTCGATGGGTGGAAGCCATACCAATCAAGGACCAAACAGGCGAGACAGTGTCGCAAGTATTCGAATTCAATGTGTCTGCAAGGCGTGGGATCCCACAGTGTATCATAACGGATCAAGGGCCCTGCTTCGAGTCAAGAGCGTTTAAGGCAGTGTTGGACAAGTGGAGCATTCAGAGACGGCGAACTTCACCGTACCACCCACAAACCAACGGCATGACCGAGCGGTTCAATCGGACATTGAAGACGTGGATAAATTGCACGAAGTTGGCATGGGAAGATGCTTTGCCTCAGGTTCTGATCGCGTATCGGACCAGCATGCAATCAACCACCAAGGTCTCGCCATTCGAATGACTGTTCGGCAGAGAACCACTGATTGCGCTCGATACTTGCCTACCGAACCAGGGTGAGCGGAAACATCCAGCTGGGCATCAAGAGCGACTGCGACGGAAGGCTAGAAGCGAAACCAAAGCTCGACAAGCGCGGAATAAGCGAAATTACGACGCCAGGCATGAGGCTCACAAGTGGAGGCCATTCAGGATTAAAGAACGAGTCAAGTTACGAAACAACCATCGGCCGGATCATGACGGGCCGGGCGCAAGCAAGTTCAGAGAACGCTGGAAAGGCCCCTACACCATTATCGACCAGAAAGCGGGCAACTTCTTAATCGACTGCGGAGGAATGACACGTTGGGTGAATTCTGCTCTCCTGCGACCATGGTACCAGAGGAAGAAAGGTCCTGGAGGAGGGGCGGGTGTAGAGGGGCCGCTTCCAATAATGGCTCTGGGGAGCTCTTCGGAGCTAGCTGAGAGCGGATCGAGAAGGACGGCTAGCGACGTGCCTGGGCCCGGAACTACGGAGCGGGAATATGTGGACAGCGCAATAAATCAGACATATACGCCGCTAGCGCAGCCCACAGGACCGACACCGAGCCGATTGATGCAGCCCAGAACAAGCAAGTCGAGAGCTCTCGAACGACTCCTGTCCGATCCAAATCGGGTACAGAGAAGTGGAGAACGAGGCGGAAACAGGAAGGCGGGTCTTCCAAGTTAGAGCTCCCGAGGCGAAAGGACTGGCTCTTCGCTAACATCCGTACCTGTGTTGCGTTGTGGGACGGAAATCTAGTCGATATTCGATGGCGCGCGTGAGACCTGGGTGTGCCCATTTTCGGTGTGCAATAAAAGTCTACCCCCCTGTCTTGTCGTTGTCCTTCTTGCTACACTGGTGCCGTGACCAATCGCGATGGAGTTGACCCAGTTCGAGCAATTTGCGGCCGGTAACGTGGAGGAGTGGCTCGATGAGTTCGACGGAATTGCGGCTTGCGCGGGTGTGAGGGGGTTCAAATTTGCTAATTGCTTTGGGCACACGGTTGAGTGGAGGAGCCAAGGCGGTGTATCTGCTCACTCGAAAGGCCAAACCCGGCTGTTCGTTCGCTGAGATGAGGGCTGCCTTGTGTGCAGAATTTGGGAAGGATCTGGAGAGAGAACGAGCACTGCAACGATTTCACGCAGCCAGATGGGACGAACAGGAGGATTTGATGGTGTTTTTCCAGCAGCTGGACAGACATCTAACGATTGGGCTCCCCGAGTTAGAGGGTAACGCAAAAGAGCGCCTACTGAAACAACAGTTTATCCGAAGTCTGCCCGGTCCACTCCGTGACCAGGTGAAATTGGCGTCGATGGTAGGAGACAGCAAAGTGTTGGATCTGGTGACGGTCGCCCAGAATTTGTCGGAACGAGTGACAGTGAGAAGCATCCAGCATGCTGAGTTGGAACAGCAAGTAAATCGCCTATCCGTAATGGTGGAGCAGCTGTTGTCGATAGAGTCTTCAAGCACCACTTCACAACTCAATGTACGGGTAGTCCGGAACGGTCGCCGCTGTTTCCGATGCAACCAGAGTGGTCATGTGGCGAGATTCTGCACCAACGTCAATGTGCCCCATTGTTTCTCTTTATCCATGCCGAGTCGGTGGCGAGTACCAGTCCTACAGGTAACTATAGAAGGTGTGTCTGTCCGAGCCATAGTAGACACAGGAGCGGCAGTGGCAATTACGAAGAGGTTCAATGAGGTTCCAGTAAACCCATCTTCAATCACGATGCAGACGGTCGGCGGGCATTCTTTGAAAGTGACGGGCACGCAGCGGTTACGAATCAGGATAGGAGAAACGCTCATCCGCCATGACATGTTCATCGTGGAGGAGACGACCGAAACCATCATCGGAACCGACATCCTGAAACGGCTCGGTGTCACAATTGACCTGAAAGACGAGGTGGTGATCGTGGCTAACGAAACGATCGAGATGGACAAGGGGAGAACCGACCGGGTTGGTGCCCTCAAAGCCGTGCCTGATTGTCAGAACCGTGCAATACCCAACGTACTGAGCAGGTATGCCCACTTATTCACAGACGCGGAAGATGATTACGGATTTTGCAATTGGGTTGAACACCGAATCCCGTTTATCCTAGGAGGACAATGCAAGCCAATCTTCAGACGGATTCCACAGAACACCCTGGTGGAGATACAGAAGCAGGTGACCGAAATGGAATCGAAAGGAATCATCAGACGAACGCACAGCCCGTATTCATCACCCGTGCTATTGACGAAGAAGGCCGACGGAACCTATCGATTTTGCATCGATTTCAGAGAACTAAACAGGGTGACTGTCAAGGATGCATTCCCGATGCCTCAGATGGAAGAAATTTTCTCAAGCCTTCACAGTGCCAAGCAGATATCTCTGATTGATCTCCGCTCGGGATATTGGCAACTGCCGATCGCAGAAGAAGATCGCCACAAGACGGCGTTCAGTGTCAATGGCCAGCAGTATGAGTTTTTGAGAATGCCGTTTGGATTGGGCAACGCCCCAGCTACATTCAGGCGTTTGTTGC